CTGCAAGACCTCCCATTATAACCACACGAGAATTTCCCATGGACGATAGACCGGCAGCCAAAGCAAACGGTACCTAACAAACTTCAAGTATTATTGATCGTCCAAAATCAAAGGTGGCCAAGAGAAAAAAGATGTTTTGCTCCAATTCAAAAAATCGAGAATTACCGTCAAACCGTCACTAAGTCCCATGACGATATCTCTAATAATTTCGGGTGACTCAAAGTGATTTTCATTATGACCACCGTCAGGGATTGATTCATAGTGATGATTCGCCGTCCTCCCGGATCTAAAGAAATGGAGTAGTAGAGACATTTCAACTATCAAGGTTTCGTCGGGATATCTAAATTTTTTGAAATTAAGAAATTTGATATTTTATGATCTGATGTGTGAAAAAATTAAAAAAAATTGAAACGCAAATTTATAAATAATGATAAGCTACCAGACTTTAATTGGTTAATCGAATAATCATACAATCCTAATATCAGTTTAATCTTTACGTACTACTCGTATTATTTGTTGCAGCTGTAAATGTTGTGGTGAAGACAAAACAAATAAATATCCTTTAGAAACCGAAATTTCCATTTCGAAATGAATACATAACAAATTTTTCATCTAATCTCGTCACCATCATAATGTCAAATTTCCGTTTTTAACAACAAACTTTTCTATTACCGTGTCATTATCACTGATACGCGGTTGATTAAACGATGATGAGCGTTTTGTTATACACACCGTGCATATTAAGCAGAAAAAAATCAACCAACAACTGACGTCTTTGGTGTAGCTTAAAAAATATTCCGAGAAAAAAATTTTTTCCTATTTGTAACATGTTAATCTGCACTCCTGCACGTGCGTGAATATTACAGTCTGGGAGACTTTATTTAAAAGTTTCTCGAGGAAAAAATTTAAAAGAATGCTTTATTTTAAACAAATTCGCAATTGTAGTGTTTAATTGATGTTGTAAGTATATACAGAAGACAAGAAAAAAAAGTATCTAAATTATAAATAGATGATTTTGAAAGAAATAATGCACAAACCAATCAACCAAATCTCCCGATGCTTAAAATCCCTTTCACCATCCGTATTCATTTTTATACTCTTTGGGTTTCTTCTTTGTGCGTTTTGGAGGTGGGGTCGTGGGCGGGGAGTTTTCAGGATTGAACATAGCGCCAGCGGCAGGATTGCCATAATAGGTGTTACGATAATTCGTTTCCCAAGGAGAATATGTCGTGCTTGTGGACGAGGAGGATGGTGTACGGAGTTGGTGTTCTTCATATGCGAAATTATTTCGAGGTCGCTGATTACTCTTGTCCCTCAGGTAATTATGTGATGATAATCTTTCTTCTTCTTCTTCTTCTTCCTCCTCTAATAATAATTTTCTCGCATATTCCTGATCCTCCTTTTCTTGCTTCAGCTTCTTTAATAGTTCCTTCTGTTTAATCTCTGTTTCACGTAACCTTTCTTCCTCCCTCCTTTCCATCTCTCGTCTCCTCACTTCATTCTCTTCAGCCAATCTCCTTTCTTCAACTAGTCTCTTTTCTTTTTCCTTTTGTTCTTTTTTTTCTGATGATTTTTTCTTTCTCCATTTCTCCTTTTTCTTAGTTTCACTCGATCCTTCTTCTACCACCTCATTAAGACCATCAACCGTCACATTTTTTTTTTTACTCGAACTCTCATCCTCCAATTTGTCTAAAAATGAGAACATCGTTATCAATAAAACATATTCTAGTCCACGTTTATCATTAACCCCGATTCTCTCCAAGTTGAAATACATGATGGTCATGTGTCCAATGGTCTTTTTTCCCGGCTTAAAGATGGCGACTCCTATACCCGGATCATCACCATGTACCATTTTGCATTCTATTTCTCTGGAAAATCCTAGACTTCTTCTCTTCCAGACATAATTCTCTCCCTCCCATGAAAACTTATATTCGAATCCCAGTATTCCAGTATCCTTCAATTCAAGGGTGTCGTCGGGCTAATTAGGGTGTGAGTGTTATTTGAACGAGAAAGAGATCGTTGATACAAGTGTCCGAGAGCGAGGGGATATCGCGCAATGCGCGATCACAGAAAATCACATTACCTGATACAACATAACCTTTTTCAATTTATCCTTCGAACTTTTTCCTTCTATTTCGACGAGAAGAACCTCGGGTATTGGATCAACTAACTGAGAACGATAAGTTTGGGTAGACTATATTCAAAGAAAGTCTTAGTAACATGTTCGTAGTCCCCACTAAACCAACTTTAAGAATCACGAACAAATTTAGCGTCGAAATTACCGTTTGTCTAAACTTTTTGTACAAAACTTCGTGGGTTATGGAATCTTGAATTTCGACCTCATCTTTTGTCTCAGCTGACCGAACGAACTCATAATTTTTAATGTTTCCGTGTAATTGTAGTGTCATTCCGTAATAAATTTGATAAGAAGCGGCGAAAAATGTCTATTAAAAACGATTATTGAAAAAGGTGGTTTTTTTTTTCCTTTGTGTTAAATGATGTCTGTAAGTGGATATTACACTACTATTTATGTACTATGTTGCTAATAATCTGTGTTGCGATACTGCTTGGACAATAAAAAATGGGATGATCATCTATTTCATTATCCTGGTAAATGCTAGATAGAAAGACTATGTCTGCCGCCAAGTGAAATCACCTGGCACTAGCGAAAGAAAATTCTCGGCGTTTTTTTTTTCTTATTTTATTTTATTTTTTGTTTTATTCGATTTTTGATATGGTTTTAACCTTAAAAATCTTGGCGGCGGGATTTTATTTGCTGAAAAAAAATTTACACAATTTCCAAAAATAACAACAGTCTCTTCTATAACCACCGATCTTATGTAACTTTGCATTTACTCCGGACTGTCACATCTTCGCATGCGTTTATTGCACACGTGAGCTCTTTGCGAATTATAATACGCGCTTTTATCACGTGATTTGTTAGGAATTAATTTGCACACCGACGAGTGTCAAGTATTTATTATGAATGGCGTGAAACGAGAAAATAATCTAAAATTTTTAGTTCAATATTAGCTCGTGCCATCACGAGAAATCTAAAACTTTCATTATATAGTGATTAAGACAAAACATCTATAGTCTACACAAGATGAAACGAATTAAATAATACGTAATAATGTTACTAGTGATAATACAAAAAAAAAAAAAAAAGAATTAAAATGAAATATATAAAATAAATATCCTTGTGCGCAAATGAAGGCTTAATATTTTTTGCGAAGGTAGTTTTGGATAACGGGGTCATTCATCAGTTCAAAAGGATCATGAAAAGTTGAAAAGAATCCTTCCTCAAACCTCTCTTGCAGATCTCTTATTCTCTTGTTGAATATTTCTATTTTTGAGGCATTAGGAGATTTTGGTATGTCATCATCTGAATCTATGGAGGATTGATCTTCCGATTCCATCTCCGTCGGTGTTACAGGATCACGTGAATTCACAGTTTCATCGGTTGGCGATCCCACAACATTCTTTATGCCGGTAAAAGTGGAACTCACGAATTCTCTAATATTACGGTGACCGGAAGATGGTCGAGTATTTTTATTACCTGATAAAAAATTCCTATAGGAAGAGGTACTCGATGCCTCTGAAGTTTCGGATACTATCTCTGATTCTTTACCATCTTCTTTTCCTTCGCCATAATTGAAGTACGCTCTTTTGATGTACTTGATTGCCCTCGTGTAAGATGTCCTCTGCATATCCGGTAGACTACTTAAATGTGGTGTATTAACATCCCTGACAAGAATTCGGATAATCTGTTCCTTATATTGTTCCGCAATTTCGGCGTATCTAGTTCAAAATCATAATCGTTAATGTTAGAAATAATTACGACGGATTAAATTTTAACGGCTTCACTTACATTTCCGGATCACGCTCTCCAGTGTCACCAATAAGGATGAATTTTCGCTCCGGAAAATCCTTTGTTTTTTGTGAAGTAGTTTAATCGAGTTTAGTGACATAAAGGATTTTGCAAAAGTGAATGTGCTCCGCGTGTTTACCTTTAATAATTCCGTTATATATTTTTTTTTGCTTGCAGATGAACTCGCTCTATGCTCACGAGGACTCCTCATAAACTCATAAAACTTGAGGTGTGCCGAACCCGGGGGGAAATTGTGTTCGACAAAGAAAGATCGCAACGCCGGATACAACTGCCAAGGAGAATTCGATACGTAATGAAATACCACTCCTTTCTCATACTATAAAATAATGTGTAAATAATTGATTTCTTTAACGCCACGAAGTCATTTGAATTGTTAAGAGTACTCTTACCCAATATCTATAGAGTGCTGACATCCCGGGAACCTTTACGGTATTCGATATTTTATTAAGTAATCTTCAAATACAGAATTTTGACTTGTCACACGAGAGGAAACTCACATCTTTAAATGGATGCAAAAAAGTATTCAAAAATATGGTTTTTGGTCCAGATAGAATTGCCGTATCTTTTATTGTATCATCTATATCCTGCAGGTCGATACAACAGAATATTTGTTCATTGCGAATTGATTGCTGGAACAGGATTCGACAGACATTAATCTACTTACCGAAATTACGGAAATACCTTTGGGTTCTATTAAACTTACCACTCCAAATGCTGGTCTAACTTTTAATTTAAATGTAATTATAAAAAAAGTATATTGTAAATAGACATCCCACGCCTCATATTACAAAAGTGACTTACTGTCTTCATTCTGATAAACCTCTAATTTAAGCAGATTCCCGGCGTGGTCACCTCCTTCTTTTAGCCACTTTTCCACTGTCGACTGTCGAATTACGATATCCCCCGAAAAACTCCCTGAATTTGATACAACTGGGGTTTTATAAGTATCACCGCCCATATTGGTATTCTCGTGGTGATGTTGATACGAGTCTTCAAAACCTGTTTCCGTCATAAAATTCTCTGAATGTTCTACAGGCAGATCGTTTGGATCCCCATCGAGAGCCATTTTATTTGGTTTTGTCAAGCCAACAACTTCGACGAAGAATTGCTTGTCAAGATTAGTCGCCCAAAAAAGTGGTGTGCGGGACTGAAGCAATTCATATCTTGAATCGTTTTTTTGTATGTTGTTCACAAGTGATGTTATTTCTGTCCATCATGAAAATTTTTCAATTAAATTCCATTTAATGCATTCCATCTGAGTTTTGAAGTCATTTACAACATACTTAGAAAGAGTGCACGAGTTTTGCTTGACCTTGGTGTAGAGAAGGCCCATCCACGGATGCGAATATTCCAATTATCAGTTAACGTGGGAATTCCTAAGGATTTTCACATGGAATAAACGTTAAATATTAATGCAAACATATTTTATCAAATTGATTGAAACCTTTATGCAGTACGAAATCGAATCATCATGGATCACTGCGCTGAATTTACGAATTTTCACTTACCATCTTCATTGCAATCATGTTTCGTGGCATAAGTCGGAAACAGTAAGCAGTTTTGTTCATATTCTTCCGGAGATTCTAACATTAAACTGTCGCTTTTTTCTGAAGAGAAGTAATCTGTACCTTCGCTTGTGAATGAATCAACTTTCGCAGGAGTCGAAAAGTGTTTTTCCTTAGGGATTGACATGATGGTTATGTTTGAGTTAACGAAGAGAATTCGGTGCCCTTGATCTACTGATACTTGCATAGTTCGTGTACTTTATCGTCGCACAACTCGATTTGCGTTGCCTAATTTAATTTAGCAATACGGTTTTAGTAAAACTTCTAGAAAGAGGTTCACGATTAAAAATTTAAATATATAAGGGTAAACCTTACCCCTTGCCCCTTAGCGTGCGTTCAGAGAGAGAATGGTGAACAAAATAGTTATTCGTTGTAATAAGATGTTTTTATACAAAATTTTTAGTATCAACGTGAAACTTAATTTCTAATATTTAGGTTACACGGATTTTTAACATTTACAATATTACATGACTTTCACATGATAGCTATAAACTAGTTCATTAAACAAATGTTCATTAAACAAAACGAAGTATACTCTGTCATATTGAAAAAATAATATTTTATTCGTCCGATGGATTGATTTTAATGATTTTTATTTATCACGATAATTGTCAATAATTTATTATTATAGTTTTTTTTTATTACAGTATATCTTTATTGAGATATTCTATAATTTATATGGACTTTTACACGATAACTAATTTATTTTTTATATTATTAATTAAAAAATTACATTACTTTAAAAATATAAGAAATTAATTAAATTAGTTTGAATTAAATAAAAACAAAATCTTAATTAGATATTTTAAGAAATAATTTTTTATTTTTCTGATAGATTGATATTTATCTCTATCTATTATAATTATTGTTAATAGCTTATTATTATATATTATTTAAAAAAATAATAAATTGTTAAATTAATATATTGAAAAAGGAAAAAAATAGTAATAATAATTTAAAGTTCCTTTAAAAGATAAGATTTATTAGATTCAAGTAAATAACTTTTTCTTAAAAGTAATTTATTTAATTGAAATATTCTTTAGTTTTAAACTATTGAAAAAACTTATTTATTAACTACTAAAACTACAGTATATATTATCTAAGAAACTCATTATTATTATTATTATTATTTAAATTTTTAGTTAGGCTAGATATATATACTTTATTAAACATTTGTATACTTTACATTTATAATGCTTTGCTAAAGCCAAATTTCTACTTAACTTACTTATCTCTATTTTATAAATTTTCTAAAACTCTAAATATAATTTTGAAACTGATTTATTATTTCATTAGTAATTTAAATAAAAACCTTTTCAATTGTTAACTTTATAACTTGCAGGTCACTACTGTAGAACATTTTATAATATTTTGGTTAGGCTTAAAATCCTAACTACTTCATTTTATATTCTAGTTTTTTTATTAAAATCTTTTTGTAATTTTCATCTTCTAAGTATCTTTCTTCTATTAATAATTCTTTTTTTATGAGAAATATAGTTTTCAGGCTTGGAGAATACTAAGATTTCTTAATCTTGTTTTCTCTATGGATCTTCTATATTTATTTCAATTTAATTATTTTCTTATATCTTGTATTTTGAATTCTTTTTCAGACTTGATTATAAACTCTTTTTTACATTTTTAATATTTATTTTTTTGTTTCTTTTCCAACCTATTTTCTATAATATTCTAAATTTCCATTTTTTAAATAAAATACTTTTTATAAGGCTAACATAGAAATTTAGGATGTTTTGATTAATTTATGAAATTTGTTTTATTAGTTTAGAAATCTATTTATCTAGTTTTTTCAGTTCTTTTCAATTATTTATAATTACTCTAAAGTTTTTTTTTTCAACTTAACTTTTTTTTTTCTTTCTTATAAAAATCTTTTGAAGTTTTTAAGAATTCTATTTATTTTTTTTTTTTTATGTCTCTTGTACTTTATTCTTATAAGCTAGATATTCTAGCAAATATTCTATTATTTCATCTTAATAGTTACAGTATATATAATACATTTTACTTACTTACAGTTATTTCCAAAAGTTTGAGTCCACTTACTATGTTTTTATTATAAATTTCAACTTTGACAATTTTTAAATTCTTAATTATATAACCAAAAATTATAAAATTAATATATATTATACTTTAATACTAGTTTTATTTATTATATTTTTTTGAAAAATTTTTTATATATAATTTTTAAGTTTTATTATTGTTAAAAAAAATTTTTTTTTATCGAATTTTTATTTTTGAAGAATTTGATTGGTTGTTATTGTAAATTATATAATAATTAATAAAAAAATAAAGATATTTAACAATAATAAAACTTTAATAAAAATTTTTTTAAAAAAATATAAGAAATAGAATAGTATTAAGACATAATATATATAAATTTAATAATTTTTGATTGTATAGTTAATGATTTAAAAATTGTCAAAGTTGAAATTAATAATAAAAACATAGTAAGTGGACTCAAACTTTTGAAAGCAACCATATATAAATCAGATTTTCTAGTAGCCAATTTACTTAAGGTTGATAGTTTATTATTAATCAATTTTATAAAAAAAATTTACCATTGAACTTTGTTTTAAAGATATATTTTATATACTATATATTTATTTTTTATTTTTTTTTTTTTAAGTATTAAACTGTAATTAGTATTAGATGTGAGACTTTATTTGACAATTTAATTCCACTGTCATTATATCAAACATCTCTAAATATATAAATTAATATTAATCTAATGTGGCAATCCTAGCTAGACTTACTACCACTTAGAAAGTGTATATATTTAACTAGTAACTGGATAATTAAATTAATATACAGTCATAAATAGTAATGCTTAGGTTAGTTAGTATAGTGTACTCATATAACTTTTTTCTTATTGTAATTTACTAAGCTAGACCTATTAGATATACTTGATAGAATATATATACCCTTCAATATTCTCAGATATTATTTGCTCAGATCTCAAAAGAAGGCATATTATCTTCTTTGTTATTATCTGTAACATCAGATCAGTTCTTATTAACTGATTTTCAATTAAGTAAAGCATTAGATTGGAATATCCTAAGCTAGAAAAGCAGGGGTTCTGGAGGTTGTCAGGACAGAATAAGCTAGAGACTTTGTATGGAAGACTAGACCTGAAACTTTACTTTGTGCAATCCTTCCAATAATACTACTTTTTAGTTTTAGTCTCTAATCGATAAAAGGTCAGAAGTCACATCTTAATGCAACCTAACCTATTTCAAGCTGATTCTGAATAATTACGATACAACTTTTACAAAATAACTGATAAACCTAATTAGAAGAATAATTTCAATTTTTAGTCCTTAAGTGATATTGAACTATAGACCTTGTGATTGTGACCTGGAAATACTATCAATATATTATTAATTTACAGATCTACTGTATATATTTATTTTTTATTCTTTTCCTTCACATTAGATCCTATATATAGCTGGAATTGACTAGCTCAAACGAATCTACCAATGAAGAAAATAAAAAAGAAAAAAATAGATTGAATCAAACTCTCAAAAGATTTGTTTCAAGATATCTAGCCACTAGAAGCAACAGAACACCATTAAACTTTCAAAAAGAGAGACAGTGAAATAGATATAGAAAGATCTCCAATAGCAATATCAATAGTGAATAAAATAGTATATGGTAAGAACCATTGCAATTGATTCTAGATAATCTAGAAAAACTCAACAATAGAATATATAAATTAGAAACAGAAAACCATCCTTCCTTCAAGATAAAAGGTAGAAGGGGAACAAACCGCTCCTGAAAGACACACCAGTTGAAACAACCTCTACAGAAGGCAGTAGATCCTCCTGTCCTTCCAATAACGCAACTCACAAAAAGGATCAGAGAACAAGAATAGAGATAACAAAAATAAAGCAACAATGACAGGAAGAGCTAGAAACATTTATAGAGAAACAAAAAACAATATTTCTAAACAAAGGCAAGGA